CAGGCATGCAGCAGAAAGGAAAGCAGGCAGGCAGGCAGCTAGACAAACACACCACCACTCGCCTTGGTCATGATACAGCGGAAGCATTCGTGAATCTGCTCTCCATCCACTTCCACATTGGCAAACTTGCCGCCGCTGTTAGCAGGCCCGGGCGCTGTGGCCTTATCACCTGCTGCCTCAGGTCTACAAATACACACCAACCAAACACAGGTATCGGTATGCAACAACATACGTAAACAGTAGGTCGAGCGATGGGCCACAATAGTTGAGCTCAAGTCAACATTTTCGCGATGCGACGCGTTTCCCGTACGGGAAATGAAGTATGAATCAGGCTTTAACGATCGTTCTGATATCATTATTTGCAATGCAGATAAAAACTTAGGCACTGTTATTTTAAATAAGGAAGACTATTTGGCTCAAGGCCGTCCATAAATTATCCAGCAAACATTTTTATTCAATTCAATGAACTGACACTCAGATTTTGCACGACAATCTTCATGAAAAGCTCTCAAACATCTGCAAAGCTCACTCTGCCATGCTTTCAACACGTGATGTTAATGCTTTCTTCAGCTGTTTTCCGTTTAAACCAGCTAAATTCTACACTCAGAAAGTGGTGGACATCACGCAACTGCATTGTACATAAAAGGGGGTTTGTCAACTGACAACCGCTCTATTCAGTTGCTATTCACTTCTTGGCGCATGCGCTGGATGAAACATTCTTTTATAATTGATGTCGAAAAAAATCAGTGTATTGGTTGAGGGAGGTAGGTTCCTCCTACACAAAGCACTCATCAAATTCTACACGCTACCTAAAATATACACAAGAAACTAGTCGCAGGCTTACCGTCCATTCATCGGAAACTGTCCCGCTGGCTTTTGAAAGTCCGATTTCGGCCGAATTGGGGATCAAAAACCCACTTTAAATCTAAAAAATCTGAGTTTGGGATCTGCTTCTCCATACATTTTGCCATGGCATACCTGTCCTAATTTTGTAAAACCTGGCTGAATTTCTATTTCCCTGTTCTTGGACTTTTCTGGCCTCAAACGTGGCAAGGAGTAATTGCATGGGTCACACGATGCAGGATGTACTGTTGTTTTCACGATATCTACAGTCAGACCTCGCTTATCCGGTCCTCGTTTATCCGGATCCCTCGCCATCCGGAAGAAAACCATTGGTTACCAATGTACAGCATATGCCGTGCGTGCATACAGTATGTGTGTTCGATTATCCGGTTCCCTCGCCTATCCGGATATTTTTGTTGAAAACGGATGTGTGCGGTTATGCGAGGTCTGACTGTACAACTATGTGCGAGAGACACCAAAAAGTTAGGGTGCCAGTTTCCAATGAATGGATTGTAGTACAAGATAGACCTATTATCTCCTGCATTGGCTACTGCACATCTCCTGCCTCTGGATTTCTAGACTGTCACCAGATGATTCTTCTCTGCAATATGAAACCGGTCAGTCAACACAAATGACTTTGTAATGCTTTGTCTAGGAGGAACCTACCTACCTCGACCAACATACTGACACATACACACATGCAAAGCGTGTTTTCTAGCCAAAAGACTCAATGAAGCCGACTGATTGCTATTTTGTAGCCGAGAGATACTGCATAATCTAACCGAGAGATACTGCATAATCTAACCGAGAGATACTGCATAATCTAACCGAGAGATACTGCATAATTTAACCGAGAGATACTGCATAATCTAACCGAGAGATACTGCATAATCTAACCGAGAGATACTGCATAATCTAACCGAGAGATACTGCATAATCTAACCGAGAGATACTGCATAATCTAACCGAGAGATACTGCATAATCTAACCGAGAGATACTGCATAATCTAACCGAGAGATACTGCATAATCTAACCGAGAGATACTGCATAATCTAACCGAGAGATACTGCATAATCTAACCGAGAGATACTGCATAATCTAACCGAGAGATACTGCATAATCTAACCGAGAGATACTGCATAATCTAACCGAGAGATACTGCATAAACCGAGAGATATGGTTAAAAAGAAACATATCTACAGACGTGGTCTGCAATGGAGACGCTCTGTTGCCTCCCTCCTCTTTTTTTTATTTTATTTTTTTTATTTATTTTTTTACTTGAAACCACGCACCCAATTCGTAAAAGAAGAAAGAAGCAGGAAATGACAAAACAACAGACTAACAAGACATTGACTGAATGGGGCTGCAAATGCAACGCAGCGGTGGTGATTCCTCCCCCCCCCCCCCTCCCTCACTCTCTCTCTCTCTCTCTCTCTCTCTCTCTCTCTCTCTCTCTCTCTCAACAAGACTGAGTATGGTATCATACCTGTGGGACACAGTGTCACTGGGTGGCTGGAAACAAGGCTGTGTTGCAAACAAACCATGCACATGCACACCAGTAGTCACACACACCCACGTACACCCACACACATGTACACACATGTACACACACACACTCACACACACACACTCACACACACACACACACCCACGTAC